TAACTCACATTCAAGTTTGKCCTTGAGTTGGCCATGCAGTGACATTTGTTTTAACAAAAAAGGAGGCTCTAGCTTTTATCACAATACCTCCTGAAAGATGCCAAGTGCTCCCCCTGTACCTAAACAACATTCCAATAATCCAGAGTGAGGTTTAACAAATTTGGCTGAAGTCTCTCTGTGGTTATTTGCCTCAAGCACAGTTTTACAGTCACTAACTTCATTGTGAATGTTACCTTCACAGCTTAGGATACCGACAAGAAAATACTGCCCTTGGCTTGAAGATAATTTGCAAAAGGCAAAGTTTAATGAAAAGTGTGAAACCAAATTGCCAGGCAATAAATGCCAGCAGTGCCCAATATTTGCTATTGCTGCCTTCCTTCCAATGCCTTCAGTACTGCTCTGTTTCTTCCCCTCTTSCTCTTCTCCTTGGACATGAATTTGACRTGCTCTGTACTTGTATTTGAGATATACTAATGAAAAACAGCACGTAGTAAATGTTCTGATAATCTAATTTAAATTTTAAAAAGTTATTAAAAAAAGATGAAAGAATTAGTAAAAAGAAAAATCAGATGAGGAAAAAAAATACAAGCAGAGCGCAGGTGAGATTTTTGTTGATCAACTTTAAATGCATCAGTGATAAGAGTGGAAAAAAAAAAGAAAAAAAGCAAAATAAAAACCCAACAAGCCACAAACCCAGAAGCAGCAAATAAGAAGTGAAATTATAGCAGGTCAAGAGAGAAAGAAAAGAAATAAATTGGCAACCTCAAGAAATTATGCAGATGAAAAAGAGGTGGAAACTAAAGAAAATAGAAGAGGAGTAAAAATATGGGAAAAACAGGAAGTAAAAAGAGAAAGTTAAGTCCTTTTTAAAAGTGAATGATGGAAGAGACCCCAGAGATATACCTTCTCTGTAAGTTCAATTTATCTTCAATTTCCCCTTACCAGCTTCTTTAACTTCCCAAAATACTCCCTGCTCCAACTCTCTGAGCATCTTCCTGCTTAGAGCCACTAAGTTTCCAGGAGCTGTAGAGATTCCTRTGGTGACTGTTACCCCAAAGCTATTTCAAGGCTGTCTGCATTCTGAGCACACACACATCCCATAACCTCTTTATGGCTGCYGAAATACAAAGGGACACAGTGGTATGGGGGAAGGAGAAATTCAAAATAAAAAGGAGTAAGGAATATATAGGTGAAATGTGAACTCCCACATAACTGTCTCCTAAAGAATACCTTCAATAACCATCAACAAGCACTAAGCACTGTGACATTCAGCTGCTCCCCAGGAAAAAGCTTTCCAGATCCATACAAACACATGGAGAAACACATGAGTAGTTGGCGTTAAGACAGCAAGCAAATGCACAAGGAACTGCCCCTCTCCAACAGGAATAGCAATCCGTGGAGAGTTTACAGCCACCCTGGTCCCCCATGCGAGCACCAGTGACAGCACAGCACAAAGGGCTGGACAGCAAGAACAGGACAGGGAAGCATTGTGGGAAAGGAGAGGAGACAAAAACATCACCTTATGCCTGTTTGAGAAGAACTACAGCATCTGACCATKTAGGATTTGGCAAGCTACTCACACACACCTTTATACCACTGAATAAAGCTTTAAGAGACAATTAACAGCATTCCTAAGGAGCAGGAACTACAACCAAATGACAAAGCATGTTAAGAGCCAAAGTTACCGTCTCTCATTTTGGTCTTTAATTCAGCAGACTGCAGAAGACCTCAGACTGCCACAACAGGAGGCTTTGATAAAMCCTGAGCTCTACAGATCCAGTGCAAAGCAGAGCAAATTGTGCCAGCGCTGATTCCTTCGTTACCAATGACAGGAACCAGTCATCAAGTTCTTTAAATTGTTATCTTCCCTCCCTAAATCCTTAATGTTATAGGATCTCTTTGTGAACCTGAACAAATGGCTTGCTTTAAGATGCTACRGAAGATTTACATGTGTTTGTGTGTTTTCTAAACATTTATTTCATAAGACTTTAACCCTCCTCATCACTGGAGCAAGGCTGCAGCATCTGGTGTTCGTTAAAACCAGGAAATTCCTGTTTTGCTGTTATGAAACTGTTGAGAGTTGATAATTGGTTCTTTTTAAATTTAGCTTGCAATGAGCTATTTTAGAAAACTCATTAAATAATAAATTTGAATCAGCAAATTTTTAAAACTGTTTGTGCTAAATTCAGACATTACTCTTCTGCAATTCAAAATAAAACAGGAAATATTTATCAAGTGTAAATTAAGGAATTATCATTATGATAATTAGAATGTAGCATTTTGCACTCATCAATTTAAAAGCTGTAATGCATATAATGCAGAAAATAAATTATACAGCCCCTCACAGAACATCTACTCTTGGTGCTCCAGCTTTACTATAGCCCATTTTTTTCTACAAGATCACAAAAAGATACTCGATCTTGTACAGAACTTAATCTTCATATCTTTGCTGAACCTKGCTATTGATACCTTGGCTGTAAATTTCAATACCTTTGCATTTCAATACAAAAAGAAAGTAAGTTTGTCCTTATTTAGTATGGGTGTCAAATTAAAAATTGACAACAGCAGTGAGAAGAACAATATAYTAAGCGTTTCATGACAGACAGACCAATAGCACATAAACAAAAGCCATGTTTTCCTGATGACTGTTTCTCCTCTGCATTGGGAGGAAAGCTGTGAATGACCTCAAGCCACGCCACAAACAGACCAGAATGAGAAGCTGCTGAAACTGCAGACAAATAATCCTGCAAAACCCTGAAAAAGGTACCTCTTGATTATGATGGGATACGGTGTAGGGCTGGGGTGAAACACYGTCCACCCCCAGCTGCTGCTCCCTCCCTGAACAGCTCAGGCACTGAGCTCCCAGCCAAGGAGACAGGCAGAGATAGCGTGTTCTGAGTTCAAGTCCCCAGWGARCCCARCAGTTATKAGCTGCAGACTCTCCTCTCAATCAYAAAATGTCATTAAGTGAAGCAAAGAGTATGTTAAACACTTGGAATATTTCCCCCTATATAAACAGCTGCTGTGGCTGCAAATGGGAAGTTACAGAATTGCAAACAATTGGTATTAAGTGTAAACAGAACATATAAACTATACTTTATTTCACAAGAAATAGGAACCTCAGGGTTAAGGGGTTCTTTGTACACATGCTGTGATTTACTATCTTAGGTGTATATATACACAAGTTAGCACATCAAAGCTGGCCCAAGAATACAAGTCTTGACTCTAGAGCCACCCTGAAATCCACAGGCACTGGAAACACATTTTTTAATATTTAGCAATATTTTTTAATATTGCTAAATGCCTAGTTCACAGCCCACCACTCTCTCACTACCTAAAGTTTCTTTTGGCATKAAGAGTTTCCAGGATAATCATTCCCACTGCAGATACACTCAGTATGCCCAGCGTAATTGTTCCCTTTCCTCCATTTTTAGTTTTATCAGTTCATAACTCCTAGCTGTTTTATTTCCCTTGGTATTCAAATTCATTACATGTACTGATAGAGCTTCACCATATTATCTTCTATTCGAGGTCACCAATAAAGAGGTTAAATTAATCTACTTTAAAATCACCATCTCTAAGCACCAATGCAGAAACCCAGCCAATCACCTCTCTTACCCCTCTTTACTTGGATTTTCATCCATGTTTTCATTTTCAGAATTAAGCCCATTTATATTAAGGGAATAAAAGGTGCAAGCACCACTTTATTTATTCTTTTCTATCCTCTGAAGAAAAACTCTTGCATCTCAGTTTCCTGAGGAGCTTTAGCTGTGCATCAATTCATGAAACCTCAGGCTGAGGGTATGCAGAAATTTATATTTATATATAAATATTTATTTATATATATATAAAAATAAACATATATATATCACAGGTAGAGCACAGGTTTGCATATGGAGACCTTGTCACTCTTGCATTACTATAAGTGTTAGTTCCACATATTAATGCTTCATACATAACACCTGCATTTTTCCCAGTCTAAATTCCTTCCTCAGCGTTCCTCACTCAAGCAAGATTCTTTTTCCATGCAAGTGGGGAGAAGAAAAAAAAAATTAAATAAATGTGGATTTCAATGCCATGAAAATACCTCAGAGACAATATCACTTTCCAACATAAAAATTTTATTAATCCTGCACCTTTCTAGAGATGATTTTTCTTCTCATGAGACCTTATTAATTTTCTGAAGGTTAACTCACACCTTCATCTATACACTCTATATCTAACATACAGACAAGTAATCTGAACTTCACTTTCTTGGGTTTTAATATGTTTCAGCCCAGATAGAAATACATGCAATGTTAAAAATCACTCCAAATTTAATTTTTTTGTGCAGAAGAGAAATTAAGTGTTACTTTGAATCAATCACAGCTATGATTCCTCAGGAACATAACAAGAAGGTTTATTTCAAAGAGAGATGTTCCAGACTTAGTTCAAACAAATGGGATGGACTTMCAAAAGAAGCATCATTTAAAGCACATAATACCGGTCATTCCTAAGAAACAGCTCCACTTAGGTTTCTTAGAGAACCCAAAACAGCGTGCAGGCTGTCCCTGACAGGGACACAATGAGTATTTACTGTTCTGCTGGGCTTGGCCAACACTCATCTTTGTGCTCTACAGAAACAAACAAAAAACCCCACAGAACACCCACTTATCGACCGTGTTACCAGAAACGCTGACTTTGGCTGCTGTAAAATAAAGAAACTGTTCTGATTAGACAGATTTATACAGCAGAAGGCACACGTGCTTAATACAGTAAGCACAACAGTATTGATTAAATAAAGCACTTGTAGAATTGCAAGCTCCTTAAAATGGCTTTGTGTATCAAATACCCCGATAAAGCCAAGACAACTTCAATGTTGAATTTCTGTGAGAAACAGTAGACTGAAATGCAAATATTTCAGGTGTCCCATATTGCTGTGTGACTAAAAATTGAATTGTTATTCTGTTGTTTTACTATTCTAACAACCAATCCCACCCCATAAGGACAAAATAAAATACCTTTTTTCGATTTTGCTCCAATCTTCAACTTTGATGGCCAAGCAATCTGTGTATTTGTTTCTTCCATAATCTATCAGAAAGAAAGCATTGACAGAAAATTAAGTTTTTCTTTTTCTCCTACAAGGCCATAAGTTCATTTTCTGAAAATACAATGTTTACCATTTTTAAATCCATTGACTTATGAACAGTACAAGTCATTAACAGCTTCTCTGTTTTTTCTTGAGAACTTTTGTCTGTATTAAGTATGGCTGAATTCTGATCATTCAAAAGAATTCCACAGAGGAAACCCAAGATGTTCAACAGCTTGCATTAAGTTCAAATGACCACTAACAGCTATGGCAGGCTACATCCACCTCAGAGGGAAGYTCAAACCTTTACAATTAGCACAAGTATTTATTTGGTTACCTTAAAATGGTTTTTAAGTAAAGCCTATCAAATTTAAATCGAGTCCTTTTGCACCTCCAGAAGTCAAGATAWATTGGTTTGCTTCACCTTTACCCAAAAGCAGCTTCTCACTGTAAGTTTATCCAGACTCCAAAATTTTTACTTCTTGGTTTAGCAGGTCAGAGCAGACATTTGACAGCATTTATTTATTATGACACAGTGTATGCAATCTGTCCATCTCCAACCAGGCAGCAGGGAAAGCTCCCTGCAGACACTCTAAMAGTGTGAAAACCATGCAATCATTTAGCTCAGTGTCAGCTCTCATTCTGTGGCTGCCTTTGGCTCAGTGGAAATTTTACCAGCCCTATTACAGGCATATTATACTGAAATTTCATCCTGGCACAGAGCTATGGTGTTGCACCAAACCATGGAGGAGTAACACAGGAGAAGAAACTGCATGACACCAAAGATTTCAGATATATGAATGGAAAGCCAGCTCCTAGAAATGCTGGCCATGTCTACTGAGACTGAAAGACTTCTGTTTAATCCTAAAATCTCATCAATAAGCATGGTGAGCCCATACCTCTCATCACATTTGGGATGAAAACAATTAAAAAGTAGAAATAATTAGTACAGCCACATCCAAGAGGAAAACTAATGCATTAAGAAAACAGATACAACACCACTAAGTTTTCCATAACAGTATCATTCAGAACAAAGGCAGGCTCCTGTAACAGTTTTTAATTCTTATCTTCTACATCCAAATCCCAAGGACACCACAACAACTTCCAGATTAGTATGCCATGTGGAAAAACTGAAAGTGTCAGCCAGACTTCATTATACTATGTTTTTGGTTTCAGCAACTATTGGATAATAAGTTACAGCTGAAATAAAACATTTCCAGGAGGGTGAAATTCTACCAGCAACATACAYATACTTTTCACCATTTTTCAATCCAGATGTGAAAAAAGCGATTTCAAAGAATCCACTTGTCTCTGATAAAAGGCTTTGGGTCAGGAGTAGTTTTTTTTATTATTATTTTATTTTTTTTTTTTTAAATTGTGCAACAGGCAGAGAAATATGCAGAAAATTGGAAGGCACTAGCTAAAAGGAGAAGGGAGATGGTAAAACAAAGAATGGTGCAGGACTGAGTTAAAGATCCAACATGAAAGGAACCACAAGAGAGGAGACAGAAGAAGAATGCATGTCATTCAAGACAAGGGTTACATCCCATCAGTGCTTTACCCTCTCAGTAAAKGTCAGAAACTTTGGTCTTAAAGAAGTTAAATCCTCCCTGTTTCTAACACTAAACTAAAATAAAAGGAAAGCYCACCACTTCAGAGATGCACATTGTGGGGACAAATGAAAAAGATGCTTATGAGATCCTCAAAGGAAAAGTAGTCTGATTGCCAGCTACTGAGATTTGGCCATCTAATATCCTCATGATCTTTGTAGAATACAATCCTAAAAATTACCACATTAGACCAAAAAAGACAACTCACTTTGGTTGCTACAAAGACAAGTTTATCTACTGTGTTAGGCAAAAAAACCCAAAAAACAGGATGCATTTAAATGAAGTACATTTACTGAAGTATCAAAATGATCAGTCTGTGCTGACTTTCAGCTCCAGGCTTCAATTTTAAAATAAATCAGGGCTTTCATAAAAACCCTTAAAAAGAAACTACACCACTTACTTCTTAAACTTCTATGGTATTTAATTTATTATTTAAGTATTTATGTATTGTATTTAWTGTAACAGCAGAGTGCCACAAAGCTCTGGAAAACAAGGAACTGAGTTTTTACCAGAGCAGTTAAACCTGAAAGCAAAGATGATATTGAAAACGGCATAGATGGCTGTTGCATCAAATTTTTGTTCAGGTTTATCATTCTAACCCAGGCAGTTTTAAGTGACAAGATCTTATTTTTTTCCCTGAAAAATCTGGAATCATTCTATGAAAACCTCAAGTTCATGTTGCAATGGAGCAGCCTTATTAGTGAAAACTCTGTGTTATGCCACATGGCCTGAAAACAGAGTTTCTGCTCTCACATGAACAAAAACACAACTCAGAAATGCTACAGCTATAGTACCTCTGTTCCAATTGTATAAATACTTGAGTTGCATAACATTTAGAGGAAACTCAGCCTAGGGATGACTCAGAGTTCACGATCTCTGCAGAACAGCACCTCTGCATAGCTTCCCTTATTTTCATATAAAGTAAGTGATAGAAGGAGTACTCCTCAGTGCTCTCCTGGCCTTGAGGGATCAACTGACCAGAAGGATCAGGCATATTTGGYAGCAAGGTTAAATCCCCTAGTAAATAACCTCATGCTTCTTCCCAAAATGAGGGAAAATTTAAGAAATTGTCTTTCTACAACTTTCCTTCCTTCCCTTTCCCCAAGTCTAATTGTAGTGTTTATGAGCCAAAATATGTAAACTATTCTCAGTGGAGAAAAAACACAAGAGGACAAGACACTGGAAGAACCAACAAAACAAATAAGACTGTACTCTGACCCTGAAAAAAACTGGCTCTAGTTGCAAATCAYTGAGCCTTCAAGAAAAAAGTCTAACTGTAAGGCAGCTGGAAGACAAGCTTTTGGCTTCCTTGTATTCCAGCTTGAAAAGTTTATAGTTTAACCACTCTGGGGAGTTTTTACATTAAGACGGTATGAAATGATTTTTTTCTTATGCTGTATTTTTCGTTGAGCTGATTTTGGATGGAAACTGGAATGTCCTGAATGAAAAAAAAACAACCAAACAAAACTCCCCCAAAGCCCACAAATATTTCAGAATTCAAAGGAAGCATTTTACACACAGTAGATGAACAAGAACAACATATACAACAGACCTTTCYTCATCTAAAGCAAGCACAGAAGAATCAAAGTATTCTTTATAGCTAGTGCTGGTAAGTTACCTATTTCTGACCTTCCCCTCTTTGGGATTTGGRTATCTTCACCTTTTCTGCTGTAATTATTATTCACAGTGAAAGGAAATATGGGTCAGACAGAACCTGGATCTACTAGTGAGTTTCTGCCAYTTCCATGCCTGAATTCTGTCCCCACTTGACCGCTTTTAAGTGAGATTCTTCTTCCACTCAAGYGGGGAAGAGGAAAATGAAATAAATTTGGACTTCAATACTATGTGGGAAAGTACCTCAGAGACAATCTCACCTTACACCATAAAAATGCAATGCTGAGTTTCTGAATTGTTGCTTTCATAGATTTCAAATGTTCATCATACGTCTTCAGCATTCACAGAAGTTGTCTTAGTCTGCTCAGTTTGTATGCATTAACAGCTGTATAAACAAGTTTATTCTTATGGTTTATTTGAATAATGGAATAAAACTTCCATGAAAAAGCAATAAAAATATATTTCCATGTGAGCTGGAGATGACCTGAAGGGTTAGAGCAGACAAGTGAAATTCTATATGGGGTGRTCCTTAGTTCTTCCTCTTGCAATGCATAAGGGGTGATGCAGCAGAATCTGAGAGGATGACTAATCCCTGAACATGACTTTTGGCAGCAAGAACAGAGCAATGGGTGCAGCTGGAACCAGAATTATTACATTTAATGGTTTGTTGTTTCTTCGGTTTGGGGGGAGGAGAAAGCAAGGCAAGAACAAGGATGGGAAGGAAGAACAAGACACCAAAGAGGGTTGTGCGAAGTTACCCATTGTGAATTCGAAGTTCAAAACTGGAGAGGCCAGAGAAAGCACTTGCATTGTCAGAGTACATCAGTGGGCAGCAYCAAGGACTATTGGTTTGGTGACGAAATTTGAGGAATAAAAAAAAGTTAAAACAGAGATTACAAAACTTAACTCAAAGCTTTGTGCAAGTACGTAGGTCTTGTGGAAGCCTGGCCAACATTTTGGGCACAGCAATGGATTTGCATGCCAAGCCCTGTTGTAGTTGCTTTCCCCTTGAGGTGATCTACAAGAGGAATTCCAATCAAGAATTCAGTTTATCACAGCTACTACTCTAAAAGTGAGACAGTACAGCCTGACTGCACAGTGTTAACACTCATTCTGCAGGTAAGGATGCTCCTGAGAAGCAGCAATGGCACGTGGCCCCAGGCCCTCGCACATTCCAGAGTTTCCAGCTGGTGCGCCTGAGTGACAAGAAACCCCATCCCCTATGCAGAGATCCAGAATTAAAACCATAAACCACGGAAGATTCTTTAGTAAGTTTGTTCTGACTTTAGACTGTTATTACTAATATCACGCATGTAAGTGTGATCTGTTTAAAATACACAACCAAAYGATGCACAGGGAGGACAAGGACCAAGCTCCAGTTGTGTGTCTGTACAGAAATGAGCAGCAGGACAAAAGGGCCTCCCCATGTGCAAGGAGGTGAGTGCCAGTGTGTCTTCAAGAATAGGGCTCCTGATTTTCCTATTTTATAGTCCAACTGCCAGAAGCCCAGACACATTTTCAGAAAAGTACCTGTAGGTGACTGCTTGGCTAGTCCTTCTTCCCTAATTTTACCTGTCTCAGAAAACAGTAATATGTAAATGATTTTAGACATTATRGAATAAGCAGCATGGACAAGGATGAATACTCTCATATGTTTTTGTTCATGCTTCCACTGCAAGTCATTTGCTTCAATCCTACAGGGAATTGATCTTCACCTACTCACTTGTCCACCTCTATTACACTGATTTTTATTACAAGTTTTGTTAAACGCTAAAATA